GGACTGGCTGAATGCAAATCAAAATTATAATATACCTAAGATAATCTTTATGTTAAAAGCAAAGAGAGGTCTTTCTAAAGATAATGAACTAAAATATCTGTTCTTAATCAGCATAGTAATGTTTCTTTTAAATACACTGTCAAACTACCTAATAAGGTAAAGTAATAACTGAATGCTATTTGCAATTTCCAAATAACATCAGTCATTACCAACTACCTTAGGCATTTTCTTGGGCCAACACCATACATGATTGAATAATTATCCTTTAATCAGTACAGTAATGAATAACTGTACCTTCCATGCTTTAGATTTTTAAATCCAACTCTATTTCATTAGGGTTTATCGCTAAATCAAAACAACCAGCTGTCTCTTATAGAACATGAAGTATGTTTCTCTTTTAAAAATGAAAGAAGTCAACAGAAAATGATTTATGAAAAATTGTGGATTTAATTGCTAGGTCTCTGATTTAATTCCAAAATGCAGAGTTGGTTAATAGGAAATAATTTTCATGCCGTTAAATTAAATAGCTCAAAGTTCATCAATAATAATAAAGAAAAATCTCATAGTTACGAAAAAAAAAGTGCTGAATCTTGCTATCATCAACCCCCTCCTCATTATCCTGCCATCAAAACACCTTCCAGCTCTCTTTTGATGAAGGTGTCTTTCCCTCTGCTTCTAATGTTTGGACTTTCCCCATCTTTAAAGCAAAACAGACCTTTACTTGTCCTTGCTAGATGGAAAGTTGAATGATGGCGAGGATTCAGACCATTCCCAGGTATTTCAGTGCATCCAAGGATCCTAATGCTGTCTGAACATGGAAACTTCTGGGTCTTCTGAAGTGGTACAATCCAAAGGACATCATTTATCACCCTGGACAAGGCCCACTGAGCTCCAATGGGCCCAGCCTCATTGTCCCTGGGTTCTTTTTTGCTGATCTGTTTGTTCCAGGTTCCAGGTTCCATTCTGCTACCTAGGCTGGAAATTCCACACCTGCTCAGCTCAAAGGAATGCAGCTCTTGCTGGCCAAAGCGCTAGCCAGGAAATGAGGAGCAACTTTGCATTTGTGGCTTCTTTTCACTTGTGGCTTCCTCTCTCACAGCTGTGAGGCCGACTGTGCTCCTGCCTGAGCTGCTCACCAACCTTATCCAACTGGAGAGCCACTACTTTCAGGTCACCTCGTCCAGGAAGCCTCTGCTGACTTCTACAAGCAGCCTGCTTCCTGACCTTTAAAGGCCCAGAGACCTTTCATTTGACATGGTATTTAATTCCTTCCTAGTATTTCCATTATTTGTTTAACCCCTTCATTTATTTATGTATGAATTCATTCACTCATCGTTAATGTAAAGCACCTACCGTATGCCAGGCCCTATGATAGGAGTTAAGGGTTAGTAAATCAAACATAAGCCCTACCATTACAGAATTTACTGTATGGTAAGACGGTAGCTAGGAGCAGTCACATAAGTATACACACAATTATAGCCCATTGAAAATCCTTGCAAGTAGGAATGGTGTTGGGCATACAGCCTATATCACACAAATGTTTGAATGATGTTTGTAAAATGTGAAATGTCTCCATTAGTTCTTCATTTTCCACATTAATAGGTGAATGTACAAACCATGGACTAATAAATAAAAGTGGCCCTAGCCAGTTTGGTTCAAAAAAACAAACAAACAAACAAAAACAATTGTGGCCCTGGCGGGGTGGGCCAGTTGGTTGGAGCATGTTCCCATACCTGACAGGTGAATGTACAAACCATGGACTATCTAAAATGTTCCTCAGCCGGATGGTGTGGTACAGTGGTTGAGCACGGAGCTATGAACTGGGAGGTAATGGTTCTATTCCCTGGTCAGGGCACATACCTAAGTTGCAGGTTCAATGCCCAGTTGCGGTCTCCTTTCGTTCACCGGCCAGAACTGAGTGTGGGGGTCAGACCCCTGTTCTCTGGGAGACTGGAAAATGTATACTGCGGGCACCCGGTATCGCATTTAGCAGCTTGTAAACCTGTTCGGCCATAACCTTACTCCAAACAAATCAACACTAAGGCTTCGTTTTCCCGGTAGATGTGTTTGCTGACTTTCGCCCAGAGGACTTGGGAGAGGGTCTAGCGGAACCACCTCTGGTCCTCACCCTCAGCGGACGCGTCCCCAGGAGAAGGGCTCCCAGGGCTGCCCGGCCGTTCCCCCAGCGAATTTGAGCTCTAGATACTTTCCCGTCGGGAAAAGGAGGCCTTCCCGGCTCCCCGGTTTCTCGCGGGTCAGGGGCCCCTCGCCGCGCCC